CCGGACTAAAGTCTGAAACCGAGGGTTTCATCTTAGCGTGCCAAGATGGTGTTGTAAACACACTTGTGTACCGCCGAATGGTGATGTGTGTGGGGGTAGCGGATACTGTCTGCAGGGCATGCCGAATGCAACCAGAGACGCTGATGCATCTTCTGTCGACATCCAAACACTATGCCAGCTGCGCCTACATTCATCGACATAATGCTGCTTTACGTGTACTCTAATACCACCTGAGGCACTTTTATGGCATTGATAAGACCCCCCGTTTTGCCGTACGCCCCTGAGGACATGGAGTCCGTTGTTCAGATTGCTCCGACTACTGCGTGCGCACGATCCCAACTCACTGTAGCCGCCCATCTCGTGGTTCGAGCCTTGGCTGCAGTTTCGCTTGGTCTGCAAGCAGTCGAGTTATGACGGCCAAAAGCCCTAGGTTTTGACTGTTTGTGGAACAACCAAACAATTGATTAACAATTATAATGATGATTATAATGGCAGTTGCTTACAATGATGTTTTTGTGTCAATAGCATAGTCATCAAACTGAGAGAACTTGCATTACCATTTAGAGATCAGGTTTGAAGAAGACGTTTTCTAAAGCAGTAATTTTAATGTAAGTGAGACATCTGTCATAAATTGAGACGAACGAGAGAGCTTTATCGCCGTATTTTTAGCATTCGTCGGGGTATCATGATATATTTCTCTTCCACACCAGCACATTTACACATCTCTCCCGTACCCAGCATCTTTTTCCTTTTTCTCATCTCGCTTTGATTATTTTTTCGTATTATACGTACTAATACGCAGGCGGTGAAGTCTATAGTGCAGAGTCATTGATAGAAATATATCGGAATGAGATATAGACTCTTATCAAAGGATTTAATAATAGTAGCTACAAGAGTTTCGATAAAATGAAGTATTTGCAGAAATACTAACGAATTCTGTATTCTGAGCTAATTATACTAATGAGGTGATAACATATTCTCAATTGTAACAATGATATAAAATAGCATACACGGTTAATAACTGGGACAATGCAACACACAAGAACTGTTACATTTCTCTGTGCAGTGAAGAAAATCTGACAACTGTGTAGAGTCTTCATCTAGACCTCGTAGTCTACACTGTAGACTACGAGGTCACTCTCAATGTAGCTGAATATCCAAAGCCTAAATGCATAACCTATTGTAAGATTCTATTATTGTACCAAATTACAAGAAATGTGATACTCTAACTCACTCCCTGGCAGCAGAACCTGCAGGTCCAACACCGACAACACCAAAGCCTGCCACCAGCCATGATCCTTAAACAGCTCCATTAATTTACTATTTTCACAACCCACCTCCCTAAGATCCATCTTGATATTAACCTCTCATCTCCTTCTTGGTCTACCCAGTGGTTGTTTTCGAGAAGGATTCCCTTCCAAAATTCGGTATGTACCCCTTGCCTTCCCCCCAATGTGTTCTACACGTCCAGTCCACCAACCAAAGCCTGCCACCAGCCATGATCCTTAAACAGCTCCATTAATTTACTATCTTCACAACCCACCTCCCTAAGATCCATCTTGATATTAACCTCTCATCTCCTTCTTGGTCTACCCAGTGGTTGTTTTCGAGAAGGATTCCCTTCCAAAATTCGGTATGTACCCCTTGCCTTCCCCCCAATGTGTTCTACACGTCCAGTCCACCAGAGCCTCCTACATTTCGCTATCCTCACTATGCTAGGTGACCTGTACAATCCATGCAGCTCCTTGTTATGCAATATTCTAAATTTCCCATTTATTCCATCCCTCCTAAGTCCAAATATCTTCCTGAGCACCTTGTTTTCAAACACTTGTAATCTACATTCTTCCTTCAAGGTAAGTTTCACAACCCTGCAACAGGCAAAGTCATTGTTTTACATATCCTGATCTTTAGTGTTTCGGACAGCAACAAGAGTTTTTGAATTGAATAAAAACAAGTATTTCCCAAACTGTATTCTACTCTTAATTTCATCATGGACCTCATTTCTATCTGTTATTGTTGTTCCCAAATACTTAAATTTTCAAATGATTTGTTAATTACAATTATATTCCACCACTGTTGCCGATGTTGATCCTGTATTATGCCCATGTATTTAGTTTTGTCTACCTTTAATTCCAGTTTCTGCATTCTTGGTTATGGAACCCACACCATCAACCAGCAAATTGACATTATCAGCATAGGCAAGTATCTATAAATCATACAAAACCGATATTGTGTGTAACATCCCTCATTTTGGTTATGAGGCCTACAAAATGGTGGAGAAGCAGCAGTCACAAATTATTGCCACTATCCTGCTACTACATGTGAGCTGGGTAGCACAGTCAGGAGAGTGACTGGCTACAGGCTGGTTGATTGGGTTTGATCCCTGATACAGGATTTTATTCTAGCCTGTGCATCCAGACTATCTCCAGGGCCCATCCCACCTCCTGACCAATGGGTAACAGGGTCCTTTCCTGGTGGCAAAGTGTGGCCAGGGTGGGCTGCTGACCACTCACCCCATCTAGTGCCGAGGTTGAGAACAAGTAGAAGCTATACTACCTCTCTCCTGTGTGTCTGCATGGTGCTTAATGGAATGGAAAATCCTATATGGCTGAAGGACTGACAATTGGCGTGAACTATGGTAGTAGAGAAAGTAAAGTGGACTGATGAATGTGTGTAGTATGGTCAAACTTGGTTCTCTGAGATCACACAACCACAATGTTATGCCATGTAGTCTGGTAGAAGGGCAATGACGGAAGCAGTAACCTGGAAGACAGCCATCTTATTGCCATGTGAAACTGAAATCTCACAATGTATCTTGTAACAGTCAACAAGTAAGTATAGCTGGATTCAGCGTTTTTGGCCGCTGAACTTTGTGAATTGGAACCTCGGAGCAAGTCACTTACCAGAAGTTTCCTGGAAGGGATGGCAGCACACTCCAAATAAAATGAAACATCACCATGGTATGTAACACAGGAATGTCGATTTCACTACACTACACATAACTAGAAAATTAATACTGCGGAGAGTAATAGATAATTTTATCTTCTTCACAACTCTTCTGTCCTCTTCCAATTCTTCCACTCCTGACAGACCTTAACTTTTTGACGTATCATTCAATTTATCACTGCTGCCGCTGCTGTCCACTCCATTATCTTCAATTATAATATGTTCAATAGTGTCTTCGATTATGCTTTCTAGCTCATAATAAATTTGTTCTAGTTTTTCCACATGCCAACATACATTCTCTCATTCCTCTTGCCCAATTTCTTCGAATCTCTGGCGACACAGATTCTCGATGTCCTTTATTTTAAATGTTGTGTTCTTGCTTGCAACCCATTGTTTTGCCCAAATAAGTTCAATGGCAGTCTCAGCACAGTGTGCCCTTTGTCTGTCAAAATCTTATCAAAAACATAACATTTGTGCTTTGGCTTATTTAAATTGATTAAATCGTACAGTAGAGATTTCAACATGTCACAAAATGGGATGTTTCTTTCCGTTAGCCAGGCCTTCATTTCGTCCTTCTTCGAGTTAGATGTCGGTTGTTTGTGTCTGTCTGAGTGTTGTGATACGAGGCTTTATCAATGACCAGAAGGGAGATTGCAACGAACAGGTGTCATGTTGTTAACACAGCATAGTCACAAGACAACAATATCAGGCTTTCACACTGCTGCACTGACACAGACTGTACTGACTGACAGAAACAAGTGGCAAACTTAATTGCCTCCTTTCCTCCTCCTCCTTCCTTACCTCATTAAGTGGTCTGCATAATGGGCTCTCCCAACAAGGTCAGCAGCCAAAAACGACGAATCCAGCTATACATTAGCCTGATATCACCTTGCAATTGAATGTAAGGACAAGAGATGCTATTCTTGAGTAAGGTTTTGCATGTAACCTTTATTATTTTGAACTACACTTCCTGAATCTGATACCACAGTTCTTATTCACAGTGCATGAAATTATCCCTGATTGTCATCCTCTGGGGTGTGCTACCAACATTTTATACAACCTACTTCCTCCAGCTTCACTGTCATTCCTTCTTAAACACTGGTAACCAGCTGCAAAAACTGACAGTCTGTAAGTCCACAGTCTAATCTCTCATTGCTGTGAAAACCTCAAGTCTCTAATTACAGGTCCTTTACCTATTCCTGATGTCCCTAATGTTTACCAAGTGGTCTCTTCATTTCAGGTTTCCCAGTAATATTTTTGTATGCATTTCTCATCTCTACCATGCATGCTACATGTTTTGTGCTACCCATCTTATCCTCCTTGGTTTCATCATCCTAATAAATCTGTCACAGAGTATAAATTGTTATGCTTCTCAGTATGCAGTTTTCTCCAAACAAACATACAAAACTGGGGTTTCTTCCTTTCAGGACTTGAACCTGAGAGGATCTCCATACCACTCTATGAACTAGAAACTGATAATTCAACAATTCATTTTGAATGCATAGGAATCATTGAAACATACAAATACAAAATGCAGAGTTAACAGATTGTTGAAGCACCTGGGACATGTAATTACCACTGGGCTTTAAAGGATTAATCACCATAACAATGCAAGGCAAAAGGGGTACAAATTATGAAGCTCCTCACTGCATACCTTATTTTCTGCAGTGTTAAGATACACCGAGATTTTAGAGGAACAACTTTAGGGGAAAAAAACCTAGAATACTTTATACAACCTAGAACACCTTTGGACCAAACAACAGTATAATTCCTATATCATAATAACCTAGCGCTTGGGGTTTCTAAGCCCTAATTAAATTTATGATAAAATTTCATCTTTCAACTGCTTGTCTTATTTTTAAAAACACTAATCAACATTTTCACTAGAATGCTACAAACTATCTACAATCTGAATTTCATTACCTGTTTCTTACATATCATACTGCAAAAAAAATCTTACATTTAGTAACAGGGTACTCAAAATTATATTAGTTTATTCTGGAAAATTTGGAAGAAGCAGTGATTTGGTTTTCTGTGGGAAATAAACATAACTCTTAAACAATATAAATTATTTTATTTCACCTTGTGCCACTTATGTATACATCTGAAGTTAAAAAATTCATTTTTTTCCCCTAAGATGTTTCTACTATATGTGGGTCATCTGCAAAAACCCTTGATAGTATATTATGCAATATAATTAACACTACATCACAGGAACAGAATTCTATACACTGCAAATAAATATCACTTTACACAGATACATGCAATATGTTACAATCTGCTTCACTGAAAGTGATCGATGACAAGCCACTTTTCTTGTACCTGCTCTACTTGCTTTGTAAGAATTGGATTGCGAATGCGAACCTTCACTTCCAACTTCCCACCTACTGGCTTGCGACCTTCCATGAGCTGCAATACAAGAAAACTGTTACAACATTATCTCAATGATTTAAGAGATTACAGGTACAAGTATTACAGTTTTAACAATATATCAGAATAAAATACCTGTTTTGCTGTTGGATCAGGTTTCATGCAGACATTAGTATTATGATGTTATATGTGTTATTACATCTAAGCTCTGTGATTCATAAAATACTGTCATGAAAAGGCAACAGTCTTATTGCTTATGAAATGATTTGTTGTGTATAAGAAATATTACCTATACATAATTTGAAGCCATGATTATTATTTCTATTGTACCACACTTCAACACAACAAAATAATGAATCTGCATTTTGCTCTGCTACCATATTATTATTTTCCACCTACATAAATGTTAAATTAACAAAAGTTGCAAATTATTTGAAGAGTCATATAAAATTTCAGAATTTTCACTAGTTTGATAATTGTACCGTGGGGAATTTGGTTTGAAAACAGGTTTTGCAACTTATTTATTGCTTACAGCCTGCAGAATGGACTGTCAGACAAGGAAGTAAATACTATTTCAAGACTACATAAAAACAATAATCATGACAAAGATCAAGAAGTACTAAACTGAAAATAGAACATTGTGAACATAACTAATATATTACATTATCCCACACATCACAGATCCTTCATGCAGAAGCATGTTCCCAAATACTGGAATTCTGTCACAGCTTTGAGGGCTTTATTAACTATTATGATTTTGTCCTGCAGTTTGGTAACAAGACATGATGATTACTTAATTTTCTCCGTGTTTACTTATACAATGACTTCTTTCCTAGCATCTAAGGCAGGTTCCACATGCTCCGTTTTGCTCATCATTTTTCCTGCAAGCTCATAAGGTCTGGAGGTAAAATAGTACACAGGGACTGCCCACACTCACAACACTCCCTGTTCATCATTTTGCCTTTACAATCATAAGTCTGAAGGTAAGACGGAGCATTTGTGGGAGCACATAAGAGTTATAAACAATGTGATAGCAAATCCTGCAACTAATGCACAGTCTTACCTCTTGCCAAGTGACTGAGAGTACATCATGATTGGAAGAAGAAATGACACCAAGAAAAAGTTAAATATGATGCACCAGTATTTACAATAAAGGCTCTGGAGATCCAAGTATGCATTTTAATCTTTATAAAACTATTTTAATTTTATTTTATCAAGCATAAATATAATATTAATAGATCATGCACAAACAGCACACTAATTACCCTACACTGTTGTGACAGACATGCATTAACATAGAACACTGATGATGATCTGTTAAAGACTGAAACATGTCTGACTGTTAATTGCAGCTACATGGTTTGAGAAATTAGAAGAAAATAATCAGGTCTGCTAGTAGTTCAGATTCCAAAAGTAGTTTGCAAAGAAAAAAGTTATGAAACTTTCTGCATATATAGAACTTGACAGAGCTATGTAGGAATGATTGAATTGCAAAAGAGCACAAAGGACACAAGTATCCAGCATAATATGCACTAATCAAGCACAATATTTCTTTGAAGACTCAGGAGTTGAGGGCAAAATCAATGCATACTCCAGTTGGCTAATGATATTTAACACCAATATGGTATATGGGAAATAGACATTCAATTCCAATCCTTTTCTGTGTTCTATGACCTCACACTGCCATTCAATTTCACAGGGATTTCCAGGAATGCATTCTGAATGAAAATCTAAAAGTAGATAAAATAACAAGGATAAAATTCTGGAAGTGTCTGCCAACAAAAACTCTAGCTTTCTATACATCACGGAATGCACTGTGCCATACACTGAGCAAAAAACCACATCCTAAGAAAATTAAGTAACTGTCCATTCATGCACACATTTGGTTATTTACAACAGCTGTATTTATAACTTCTAATCACAATGAATGAAAACCAAACATTCAAATGCTACTAACTCTCTTCAGTTTGAATGTTACGATACATTTAACATAAATGTCTGATCATGTAGTGGCAGAGGAGCTGCTATCATTATTTTGCTCTTGGATGCAATGTAAACTGCAAGAAAATGCAGTATGACCTCTGTCTTATGATGTTATGAAGGCTCTATCAAGAGGCAACATTTGAAATTCCATAACTATGGAATGTTGCTATGTGCTGCAACTGTTTCTTTAAATGTTCTGCTCCAAATTATCTCAATGACCCTGTACAGTTTGGCCATAAGAATTTAAATTACCCTGTTTATTGTAGGCTGCTACCCATTTTTTATTCTTTAATAAAAATTTCTAAAATATGTATTCTTCCTGTTTTGTTATGAGCCCATACTATTCTGTCATCCCCCTTCTTACTCCCAAGTCTTTGACTACCTCATACCATATATTGCAATTACCTCAATTTATCTGGCACAGACTCTACAGTCATCACAATTTAGTTTTAAACAGTGAAACTTATAATGATTCACAGTACACCAATATGCTTAGAGTCCATTAATTTAATTTTACTTCATCATTTGTGATGGAACTTACATCAAAGGAGTCATGAATAGTGCATTTGGTTTCCAGTGGAAGCAACTTCACAGCAGCTGTTCCAATCAACACATCACTTCTGAAGAAGCTCCTACAAGACAAGACCTTCAAATGTTAAACATTGCATTACCAAGAACTCAGACATTACAATGATGGCTCAATTAATGCATGCCCACAACATAACAAACAAAACCTGGAAAACTGAAGAATCCTTATGCAGTAAGTGTATCTTAATAACAAATAACACAAAACAAGTATGTACATATGCATGTATGAGTGTGTTTATTGTGTTATGGTGTGTGTGCGTACACATGAATGTGTATGTATGCGTGGGTGTGCATCCCTGTTCACTTAATCCACTACCAGCCCTGTACATCTCATGAAATACAGTATCCTACATAGCAGGATTTCATAACATTCTTCTCAGCTTACTGGCGGCCATAATCAAGGTCTCCGTATACATCCCAGGTCTCATATGGTCCCCAGGATCTTTGGGGAGGGTTAACCTCTTTAACCAGGAAGACCTGGATCTTTTATGCACCCTGGTCAGGGCCTCTGTATACTTGGGTAGTGCCATGTGCCCTGGTTTCCATAAGCCTCTGGTATTACATTGGCTATTTCTGGTTTTAATCTTACTTCTGGCACTTCCAGACACTTTGTCTTTGCATATGAAGTATGCCTTTAGAACAGTTGTCTTCTCAAAACCTCTGGATTGGCTAATACTTTCAGCTTCCCAAGGTGGTATGCCAGAACTGCTGGCTCCCTGCTGAGAGGAATCAATTTTCAAATAGAGGCCCCGTGTTAGAGAGCCCTTTCATTGGTGGCCATAATCAAGGCCTCCCTGCAAGTCTCTGTCTCAGAGTCACTGGGTCCTTTGTGTTGACTGGCATCTTTAATAAGGATGGTGCTTTCAAACGTAGGCCTTATAGACACCCTGGTCAAAGACTTCCTGGACTTGGGTAATGCCAAGTATCCTGTATGCTATAAGCACCTGGTACTACTTTGGCTCTCCTTGATTTTAAGTTTCCTCCTGGCATTTTCAGACACTTAGTCAGATGAAGCCTGAACCTTAAAGTCTACATACTGTATGTCACCTTTATCCAAAGGTTTGCTGAAACCACCAGCTTTCTGTGGTGGTATGCCAGAGCCACTGGCTCCCTCTATAAATGGCAATAGTAGATGAGTCCCTGCCCCCACTGTCTTCTGAGCTAACACTGTTAGGTTTCCAAGATGGTAGGCCAGAACTGCTGGCTCCCTGTAGCCTTTAAACAGATGCTTCATATTGGAGAACTCCTTTGTACAACTTCCATCCCCTTAAAAGTTACATATTGTAAGTCACCTTCATCCACAGGTTAGTTGGAATTACCAGCTCCCGGTTGTAATATGTCAAAACTACTGACTCCCAATTTGTAGGTTTCCTGGAGCCAATGGCCCCAGTCCCCACAGTGGAGTGCCACATCTACTGGCTTCCAACACAGAACAGTAAATAAAAACAATGCAGCTATGACACAACTTAGTTCAGGATTAAACACCACCAAAAATAAAATAATAATCAGAAAAGAAATAAGGTCCACAACAACCACCAGGGAACAAAATACAACCTAGTTCAAAATAAACACCATCAACATAAAATAATGATTCACTGAAGACTGAATTCATTGCTCTGATGACAGAGGCAGTATGACCTCTGAAATGGTGGTGGAAATCTACCATACTACATGACACAATAACCCAGAATACTGCAATCTTCAGACTAACCACTGTGAAAACCTCAAATCTACAATGATTCACTATGTAACAAATACATATATTTAGAATGTACGAGGGTGAGTCAAATGAAAACCGTAATTTTTTTTTTAAATTTAATTTATTGAGTGAAAGCGGTACACAACTATATCATTTTTCTACATAGTCTACATTTCGTTCAATACAGGCCCTCCAGCGTTTACGAAGTGTATGGATTCCTCTAGAAAAAAATT